GCAGTTGACATACCAGCAAGATGTTGCTGTTTCTTACCCTCCATCTCTCTCTCTCTCTCTCTCTCTCTCGCAGTACTCGTGATCTGGCAGAAGAAAGTCTGACATTTATGAAAGTTGAAAAATAGGCAAATGATGTAACACATCAGAAAGCAATTAAACTGAAGTTTTACTGTACAATCGCTGGAAACATTTTTGTGAGAATCTTATATTCGTTCATAATCACAAAAATTTCATTGAAAATTCAAACTGTGCATTGCGCCAGATGACAGCCATGTCTAAATGCAAGCAATGGTACGTATGTTTTTGAAAAATGAGATGTAGAAAAGTTAGCTTCCCTGAGAGGAAGGTAATTAATATTCATTCAGTGACCCGATCCGCATTTGGGGACTGTCAATGTGTAAAATATGGCAAACATTGAAATTCTGACCCTCTAATATCAGGTACCAAAATTATAGTAGAAGATGGCATTTTCACCGCAAGTTCATTTCTGGCACGAAGCCCAATCACAGAATGCTCTTCCATATGTACCAATACTGAAATGCCATTCCAAAACGATCGAAATCGTTATTGAGAGGATGTCATTTTACAAATCTACAAACTTTCTGATTTACCATTTATCCGTACACTATTTTACATAATAATATAATTGTATAGTTGTCCCATGGTTGACTTATTGTCGCACAAAATAAGAAGACTAAATTATGATATGAAGTTATTGAATGCTTCTGAATTTTAGGTATCATCAATCAACCGAGTGCTGCGCAATTTAGCCGCTCAGAAAGAACAACAGGCAGCTCAACAAGAAATCTATGATAAACTGCGTATGTCCTGGAATGGAGGACATTCCTGGTTTTACCCTACAGCAGCAGCCATTCAATCCACTGCTCACATGGCAATGGCTCCTGCTCCAAACTTATTTTCAGCCTATCCAGTTAGCCAGCCGACAGATCTCAAAGCAGGTACGACATATCGTTTGATTGACTGTTCTAAACTGAAGTAAGCGAAAACTAGACAAGTGCATAAAATGTTACAGATCCTATGGGTTTTGGCAACTGTTGTACAACATATATTTATTCTGTTTATTGCTGGAGTTGTTCATCCAGGGTATCTCGCACCAGGCGCACAGCGTAGTTTTTGGTCCGTTATTTTTTAGCAGTGATAGATTTTTTCGGTTGTAGCATATCCTCCATATGTTTGATGCTTTGAAGAGTACGAGCTTAGCTTGAAATTGTTTCAAGACCAATTCACTGCTTACAGTTTGTCGGGGATTCTGAAAATCTAAGTTTTCTTACGGCAAAAAAGTGAAGGCGTGAAATAAAAACTGCAAAACAATTCTGATATAATAATGTAAGATCTGTGGTTATCATATTACGTATCTTAACATCCTCCTGCCTGATTCGATTAACTTTTTCAGTCATTGAATGCTAAAAATATACTCGCTCCTTCAGGCAGAAACGGTGAATTTTTTTATTCAATGCCTATGTTTTCGCTTACGTATTTGTGCAAATCCAGAGGTTATTAGATTCATGAATCATTTAGGCACACACGGCAACCAATTCCATATTTCAGTTATTGTCATATTTTCACATCTGCAGCTCAATTCTTGCGATGTCTGTTCGACCTTCAAATGTTCAACATGTTACTCAGAGGAGTTGTTAACAAAAATTCTCGCTGCGAAAATTGATCAGCCTAATCTTGTCTGTCAAAGTTACAGGGTGCTTTTCTGAGACATATTTTGCATTCTGTGGTTCCTAAGAAACGATGAATAATGTTGACTAAAATTTGTGCCTTTTAATAGACTAAAAATCTTTGTTTTAAGAAACACTGATATCAAGTACCATGATTCAGCTTTAAAATAGAATACTATATTTTACCCTACAGACTATAACCAAAGTTTAAAGGCTGGGCGTACAACTGTTTACCGAATTAAAGCAAGACTAAGTGTAAACTGATAAACCAACGGAGTTACGATTAACAATTTTAATAAATTGATAAAAACGGCAGTTATTTTTGCGTACAATAAAACAATTTTTTGTATTATTTTTAAGTCTGTAAACTGATAGAACTGTGTGAAATCAGATTGTCACTGAAGTTGCGTGATAACGAATTAATAACATAGTTGTCGAAAAGAATAAAATAAATGGTTTTGGTGAAATTCCATTTGAATCTACACTAAGCATCAGCAGGTAAAAAAGGACTATCACACATTTTTTCGCTGGTCTTGCTTAGGATTCTGCAGTTCATTTTAACGCTCCAAGCTTATTGTCGGGCGTAATGATTCACTATAATCAAGTCTCTGCAAAACTGTTTTAAGGAATTCGACCAGACGGAAATTCAGGCCCTGTTTTATAAGATTATTAGTTTGCATGATTGTTAATAGTCTATCTGAAAATAATCATTCCAGTTTTCTTTTCGAGAAGGATTTTCACAATGTACAAAATGGCAGATGTAAACAAGTGCTCATTAAAAAGTTTGCAGACTCGCATTACAAAGAGAATCGAATAAGTTCAGTCAAATTAAACTTTTTCCGTGGGTAGCTGCAAATATCTGCTGCACACATCTTCATCGAAAACGTCGCCACACGGAAGATTTCTTTAAATCGTTTTGATGTACTTTAAACCTGTGGAACTGCGATGATATGCATAAGATATTAAGTGCGAAAGAATGAACCGTACAGCAGCATACAGAGGTTTAGCTTTTCCAAACCGAGTGCGGCTGATGTGACTGTCATCGACAAACATCGAGGCACTTTCACACGGGGGAACGGAAGAGTGCAATTTGAGAATGCGACGTTGGTACGTGGCCGGTCGACGGCCGCGAACGTCGAAACGATAACACGTTTCGTCAGTGTGACTGGAGACGCTTTCTCGAAGTGAAAGGTCTGTCAAATCTGTCGTGGCCAAAACTTGTCTCGTCTTAGGACCTTACCTGGAAAACTAGGGAAACTAGAACTAAGCGACTGAGATCGACGCGATAAACGTAACGTCGTCGTCGTCGTCGTCGACCGATTCACACACAACATGGGACTCGTCGCCTCGTCACAACACGACAGACTAGTCGGAAACAACAGCACGTCAACCGTGCTGCAGTCCGGTTCAGTTTCGTCGACTGACTGGTGACTGGTGACTGGTGCCTAGTGCCTACTGGCGACGGATGACCCTCGGTGGCAGAGGAAAAACTAACCGCGCCAATGACCGACCGTTCGACTGCGATTCTCTGTCGCCCGCTTGAGCACCACCACTTCGCGACGACTAAGACGGCCAGGGCAATTTTTTTCCTTCGTTGTTGATGCACTCAATCGTTTGGTCGTCGACGACGTTAATCATCGCAATGCCAAGTACGTGATAAACTATTCCTCCCGTCTTTCAGCTTTGTTTCCGTGTGCCAAACGATGGACGATACGCTGTTAAACGTGATTTACAGCCTGCACTTGTGGCGACGACAAATCGCTCACTTTTGTCGCATACACTCACCGGACGCCGTCGACACGAACCCTCACGTTTTCCTCCGTTTGCTCGAGGAAGCCGCTTTTCCGTCCTTCTGCTTCTCTGCAAATAGACTGATCTGCCACGGGTTTCCGTCAGAAGCTATGAGCTTGGCTAAGACCACTTTTTCCCTGCAGGACAATCATCTCCATAGAGCATTGATTCAACAACATGTCGCTCTTGTTTTCTGCACTTAGTTAGAAATCGACATAAGCCCAGTCTTTCAAAGGAGATCTGTATTTCCTGGCTTAAAGCCTGTCACAGTGATGGGCATAGAAACTATTAAAAGTGGTGACGGTGCGTTATTTAAAAGTAAGAATTCTTTCCAAGCAGTTCTTCCGACTTATTGGTTAATGGCACAGAAAAAATATGAATCAGCTCATTTCTGCCGTAGTTACCAACATGCCACTGCGCTCATAATCAGGGCAAAT